CAACGTCATTTAGCAAAGATATATATATCATTACGTAATCGATCATTACCGGAATCCAGACTTATCGAATCGGCAAAATAATCATTCGGTCAATTTTTTATCAGATGTCCCAAAATTTATGAGAACAGCTGTAATAACCGGGTGGGTTTTGAAAAAAAATTTTTATATATGAAATTTTTTAAAAAAACCGGCCGGCCGGGTCTATTTTTAAATTTTCATGTTATGAAACCAAGTAATTAAATTTGTTTGGCCTAAGTTGGATGCTGAGATATCTTTGCTCAAAATTTTGAAAAATTTCAAAACACTTATTAAAATTATAGCTGCGGCAAAATTTTTTCAAAACTTTGAGCGAAGATATATCAGTATCTATCTAACCAAATTCGATAAACTTTTTTTTTTTAATTCTAAAAATCTGTAAAATAAAAGAAAAAAAAGTTCATTGAATTTAGCTTGATGGGTGCAGAGAAATCTTTGCTCAAAATTTTGAAAAAATTCAAAACGTTTATCAAAATAATAGCTGTAGCAAAAATTTTTTAAAATTTTGAGCGAAGTTATCTCAGTACCTATCTAACCAACTTCGATAAAATTTTTTTCTTTTGATTCTACAAATCTGTAGAATAAACAAAAAAAAATTTTTATCTTATTTAGCTAGATTGATACCGAGATGTCTTCGCTCAAAGTTTTGATAAAATTCAAACCGCCTATCAAAATAACAGTTGCGACAAATTTTTTTAAAACTTTGAGCGAAGATATCTCGGCATTCATCTAACTGAATTCAATGAACTTTTTTTTCTTTGGATTTTGCAAATTAGTAGAATTAAAATTATCGAATTTGGTTTGATGGATGCTGAGATATCTTCGCTCAAAGGTTTAAAAAAATTTTGCCGCAGCTGTTATTTTGATAGGCGTTTTTTGAATTTTTTTTCTTTTAATTCTATAGATTTATAGAATTAAAATTAAAAAAAAAGTTCATTGAATTTGGTTAAGTGGTTATCGAGATATCTTTGCTCAAAGTTTAAAGAACTTTTTGTATCTATTATTTTGATAGATGTTTTAAAACTTTGAGCAAAGTTAAATTTTGTGGGGGTATGAAAAACAAAATTGGGGGTATCAGGTATGTACTGTACGTACGTACGTACGTATATCAGCCGTCTAATTTTCTACACAGTATTCTATAAAATCTTTATTGGAGATATGACCGCCTCTATATTTAATTATAAAAAAGACCGATTAAGAAATATTTTTGTCACCCCCCAGTATTATTTAGAATATTGTTACAAGTTTTCTTAATGAATTTGCTTATGTTTCATTTCGCCGATAGGCTCTTTTGGTTCCACGAAAAGGTATTGTAAACCGAAACTGCTGAACTGTATAAAGAAATCTTTGTGAATTGTGTAATGACTTCCATACTTGGAACGGTCTTGGATGCTATAAAAAAATCGATAAGATCCGCGTATTTTACACCAATAATTTTGCTGTTCCGGAACAGCATTTCGTACTTGTGCAATTTCTTTTGCACAAATGTTTTTGCAAGACTGTCATTCTAAAATTCCTTGCTTTCTATATTATTTGAAGATTCCGTGAGCGATCTCTGTGAAAACATCAATCTTCGGCCAACATTTCTAAGTTACAAGATTCTGATCGTTGTTGCGATTACATTTTTATAGGTGGGCCATTTTATTATTCCAGCAAAAAACAATTATTATCATAGAAATAGTAAAAGAACAATGCCTGACAAAACCACTACACGATTACCACTTCACATCAACATAAATACCGATGTATTTACTACTAAAACAAACTTTCGACGCAAATTACTACAAGAATCACCTTTAATATCTCAAGCTTTAAATTTTTTCAAAACAAGCATTATTTTCAAACAACCTTTACTGCTTTTTTTGATATTTTTATTTTGTATATGTCTTTATGGCATAATTCGATTTCCAACAAAAGAAGAAATAATAATATCACAAGAAGTGCCTGCAGTAGATGTGTTAAGCAATGTCTTTCCTACTGACGGTGACGGAGAAACCACTGCAATTCTATTGAATTGGTCTAGATTAGAAAATTTGAAGATTATAGTAAAACATCTGTGTCAATATTCGATGTTTAAGGAGATCATGATATGGAACAATAATGGTGATATATATCTTTCTGACAAAGTAAGAGGTTCGCTTGATTAATATTGTGTATGAATTAATTGAAGTTCTAACTATAAAGGCCAATTTAGAGGAGATCTACATTTAATTAAGGTTACTTATTGACAACGTTATTCTTTAACAATGCGAAGATGTTCACCGAGACCCAATGCGTTAAAATCCGATATTACAACTCTCCAGGAAACATGTATTTCATTGCAAGATATATGGCTTGTGCGATGGCGACTACCCCTTACTGTTATTTTCAAGATGACGATTGGATTATTCGGCATATGCGTTCTATGTATGCTAACTTTCTACGTTTTCCAAATTTAATTCACACCGACACAAATGCGGACGTATATTCTCTGACCAATTGGAAATGGTGTTTTTTTGATGATGGTATATGAACTAACTTTAAAATGTTACCTTTAAAAAAAAAAAAAAAATCTTCATTATTTAAACTTTTCATTTAACAATGTTTATTTTCAAATTTATTCGATTCTAGCTGTCGATCTACATGCTTGCTTTTCTTGGGTTGGAACCGGTGCCTTCGCTTCTCGAGATAATGTAGTAAGATTTCTCAAAATGGCTTCGATCACTGAAATGGATCCAACTGAATTTGCATATGGTGATATGTATTTCACAACATTTATGAACCAAGTGCCATATCAGTTGGAGAATGAATTAATGGAATTACCGCAGGAAAATGCTTTTAGTGCTGGAAACGGAAGAATCCGCAACAAAATTTATATGCACAAAGCTTTAGTACGTTTATACGATCACCTAAGTCGTAAAACAGGAGCCTTTGAAACAAAGGAAATTTCGCCTAGCATATATCAACGCGACGTACGTTCTCCTTGCGAGAATGACAGATGTTTATTTCTCACAAATAAGAATTCATTTCCGGACGTTCGAGCATTTCGTTATAGACCATATATTAATATTAGCGAGTCTGAACGAATTCACGAGAGCTATTATGATACTGGGCATTTCATTCGTCATCCTTATTCGCATGCTGTAGATGATAAAGATTGGACTGCATGGAAATCACAAGAGGGTAACTTACATTAATAAGCATTAATCACAGGTCTTGGGCAATTTTTTTCTTATTTCCATTATTTAAACAAATAGTCATCCGTAAGGATGATTATATTAGCTTAGATTTGTTGTTCCCGATGCCATTCCCACTCATATTTACTCTCATAGTCGATCACCATAGAGATTATTTCTCTTCGTTAAATATGAAGATACAGATATCTTATAATGGAATAGATTGGGTATGACTTTGTTTACACTTCGTTTTTGTAAAGATTTAGTTTTACATGGTTAATTGTGTATTATTAATCCCATTTAGATACAATTGTCACCATTACCGAAAATAGAAGTTCGACAACTTCCACGAACTGGCCTTGACGGAAGAACACATTTATTATTATGTACTTTTCAAATTAGAGAGACTGGTATCCGTTTTGTAAAATTAACCAGTACCAGAGAGTGGGAATTTCCATATGGTATCTATGATTTTTCCTTCCATGCTCGTATTGACAGTGGCATAGATGATTAGTGAATAGTAGATATGTAATTATAATTAGAAATTTTTAAAAAGGACTATTAGTGTTAATTTTTCTACAGAGTTTTGTTAGGTAGCTTTTAATTCATAATTTAAGATTCACATCTCTAAAAGCATCAATCTTAAAGCTATTTTTGTTCATCACATTGATAGTTAAATGATTGTATGTTAATATATTTAAAATTAAGAACTTTTTTTTTTTTTTTTCTTATAAGAAAAAATTATAAACAAATTATTATTATTTTTTTTAATAATATATAATCATTGCAATATTGTTCTTGATTCTAAAAATGAAATTAAACATTGTCAGAAAACACAGAATTATATGATACAAAGTAGAATTTCAGTTCAATTGGTTCAAAATTATTCCTCTTAAACCAAATTCCCTCAAAAAACATATCTACAAAATAATAAAAGCAAGCGAACACATCCACGGCTTCTTATATATCCAAATCAGTTCATGTTTCATGATTTTATTATAGGATTCCATTAGAGTAATATTGAAAAGTATCATACAATCGAGTAAACACATTACAACAACTTGACATGATCAACTTTTCAACAAATTCATCAAACTGTGGTTCAGTAAGAGAAAGATGAAACCTATCATGAAGCTGAGAGACTCCACCAGAAAGAAAACAGGGAAGCTTCGAATCTTTGAGAAAGTTTTAGTTAAAATCGATTATTGTATTTCGAAACTGAAAAATAGAAAAAAAAATTCGAGAGAATAAATTATACCTTTGGACATCATCTCAACTAGTAATATAAAGTTATCGGCATGCTTGCGCAGTTCAAGAAAAGCTTGTTTTAGCAGCGTTTTGAATTCCGCAAATTTCTCACTGGTTACCCCACCAAGGATATCCAAATATTCTTGCGAGAGCTTGAAAGGTGCAAGTTCGAAGCCGACGGAACCGGGTGAATTCGAGAGCATGAATCCGAAATCGATATCTAAAGTAGTACGATTTATATAAATAATTTTCATCAAAAATTCACAAAAAAATTACTGTCGCGGCTGAAGCTGGAAATTTTATTATGAAATTTTCAAAATTTTTGGGATGAATTTTTTTTCTTTATTAGTAGGTCGAGTATAGAGTATAAGGGGATCTTTTGGTATGGTTTATATTTTTAATCAAGGTTCCAAATTTCCGCGACAGTTATTTAATTAGGTACATACGTATCAAGTGACCTTCAGTATCCAATAGGACATTGCCATTATGACTACAAAATTGTTCACTGTTAAAACTAATCAACAGAGAATTTAAAAAAAAAAATTGGGTAATTACCGATCCTTCACTTGTAAAATATAACAAACAAGCGAATAAGCTGCCAAACTTCTCATGAAATTATCTTGAGCACGTAAAAAATTTTCGGATGAAACATCACCATATGTCTGAAACAATGATTGAAATAGCGAGCAACATAAGCAAAATGGAATAATATGTATAGGATCCTACTCATTATAAAAAACCCAAACCTTCACAAAATAGTCAAATAAAGTAAACATAAACCCTTTTTCATTTAACCTTTTTGCATACGCATCTTTTTTGATAGAATGGATCGAAATGGTGTTTTGAATGGTTTCTATCAATCCTGAATTGTCAGATGTTACAAGTACTCTGTAACTATTAAACAAGATATGATATCGATAAATGATGCACTACACACGTAAATGAATTCAAGTAACAATGGCAAGGAAGTAATGATGATAATAATAATTATAATAATAATTATAATAATTATTATAATAATAATTATAATATAGTAATCGTAATAATAATAATAATAATAATAATAGAACCGTTAGAATGATTACTCACTATCGAACCCACACGTTAATGCCAGCTTCTTGCCATATTCTCTGCATTTC